AATTTCAAAGCCAATCAATGCGCATTTTAAGACATCTCATGGGTTTGCAACGCCACCGAGGAGTGATCGATCTGACCAGTCAGGTCGCGGGGTAGCACCCCTCATGGCAAAAAAAAAAAATAAATGAAATTCAGTATTTGGCAAAATTATTACTAAAAAATAATTCAGTAATAATTCCGGAAAGCTCCACGTGTTACAGTGTTTTGCTCATTTTATATTGTAATGATGAAATATAGAAAAAGAATTTCACATACGTCTTATTACAATGTAGTTATCAATTATAACCAAATCTAATTAAAGAAGAAAGAGAAACCCTCTCGAATTTATTCGTCTTATTTCATTTCTCTCCACAACCTTTCGGAGAATTTTAGGCTAATAAAAGAATATGTATTATGTATTTGAGTGTAAAAAAAATAACAATAAGCGCACGGAGACACGGTGTCGCCTTTTTTTTTTTCGTTTTGAGACAAAATTTACAGAATTCGTTCTCCTTTGCACTCGTGTCACCATAGAAATGCTAGTGCCTGCGATGTGCGGTAGGTGTTTTTCTTTTAATTACTTTGTCAAACTTACTTTTTATCCATATAGAGCTCACAACTATTATTAACACATTAATAGGACTCACAATTTATAATTACTTAAATTTTAAGGACTTTGCTACAGGTACATTAAAATAGGCCAACTATTGTCTATGGCCTTCACACATTTCATCTGTATTAAAATAGCCATCATCTTTTGACTCCATAAAGTAAAATCAATTTTTCCATCAAATTAACTAACTTCAAATTTTTCAGAAGTCATAGTTTAAAACAAATAAAGCTTACAAACCAAAGCCAATTAATACAAGTATGCAAAGAACAGTAAGAGTACAAAGATGTGCCAATTAGAAATTCACAGTGGTACACACAGTAAGACAAGAATTTCAAATATAGAGTACAGTCAGAGAACATACAAAATTTTTGGAATTCTAAAGAGGTCACAGTAACAGAGATCACAGAGAAAACTATGTTTCACAAATTTCTCCTACAAGATTCTCAAGGTGTACACCCGTTCTTGATTAATCTCAGATTCTCAAGGCCTTATAGGAGCTTTTGGACAAAGACTAAGATCAAGGGGGTATTAACAATACACGGTAAATCAAGGGAAAAATCAAGAAACCCTAAAGTCTTGAAAGTAATTTAACAAGAGTTTAGAAAGATCTCATCCAACGAGTTTAGATCTCGATATTTTGTAATTTTGCTTAATAGCAATTTCAAAAATTAGTAGCCTTATCAAATCAGCATTTCTGCTTCAAGATCCAGGTAACTTGCTCCATTTTCAATGGCTCTGATACCACTGTTAGGCCAGGACACACGATATTAGATCAAGAACAGAAAACAGCAAGTTTGTATACTGAAAATAAAGAGCAGAATTTAAAGAACACAATCGATATGTTTCGGCCTAAGNTTAGATCAAGAACAGAAAGTATAAAGTCTGTTCGCTGAAAATAATGTGCAGAATGTAAAGCACACTATCGATATGTTTTGGCCTAAGCCCCGAAGGTTCGGTGACCACATCCAACATCTACATCCCTCGTTAGCATCCAATATTATGGATTATACTTGATTCCACTATGAAGCCCAAATTTGCAACAAATGTTACAAGAATGTTCAGAACAATCACAAAGAAGTACAAGAATATTTATCTCTCACAATACAGCAACTGATTCACTTGAATCACAAACAATCAGACACTAAGCCAACAGAATCAATTACACAACCACACGAACACTTCACATAGATATTCACTCAGAATATCTCCACTAAGGAATCACTCTATTACACAATATCATCTCAAATCAGGGATTTGATTTGGATTTTACAGAGAGAAATCAGAAAGAAGATTTCAAGCGGCGTAGCCAGAGAGAGAACGAAAGGAATGGAATGAACCCTAGAATCGACTATTCGAGAGATCATGCCAAATGAAATGGCATTAAGTATTAGAACCGTCCAGAAGTCAATCCGACAGCTGCAATAGGTCCACATGTCAATCATCCAGTGAAGCCTTTAATATGAGTAAAAGTTTCACTTTCAAAGACACGATTTTGCCAAATTATGGGAGCGGGGAATTAAACCTGGTTCAATTCCAACAAGTTTTATCTCCTGCTACTCACTCTCATGTCGAATGTCAACGGGGGATGGTCCCAAACTCTTTTTACATATAACTAAGTGACGGAAGTGATCGGCAATACCTTGCTCCTCGTAGGAAGACAAAAGGTTGTTGACATGATAGATCACTATCAATTTCCAACAAATGTAATATTTTTTTTCTTTTACTTTTACGTTGGTACAACTTAATAAAGAAAAGGAAAAAATTTAGAATGTAAAGCGAAATGTTTATTGAAAAAATGGATTTTTTCCACCTAATTTTCTACATTTGTACTGTTTTATTGAAAAAAATTCCACAGAAAATATTTTCATACTTTTGGTCACGTGATCATATTTTTCTTGAAAATGAGAAAAATACGTGATCATATTTTTCTTAAAAATAAGGAAAATATTTTTTTTAGAAAAAAGTGATTTTTATTTTTCAAATAATTCACTCTCTGTTTTTCTCTCTCATCTATCCCCTCTCTCATCTACCCACAAAAAAAAAAGGACAAATATAATATCTTTTAGGTTGAAAACAAAATCAATTAAACATATTTAATTAATAGTTTTTATACAATTAAGTTCAAGACAATTGAATTACCTAGAATTTATTTTATTTACATACTAATTTCACACTCGCAATTAAATGCACCCTAACACTCTTTAAAACTATTATGATAAGACTTTTCTTTTCAAAAATTTCTGAGAACTTTGGCCAATTATTCGATATAATTGATTCTTCAATTATATGTTTTTTTTTCAAGCAAGCATCGAATGGGTATGTGTCGAGCGAGAGTCACAATTTCTATAGAAAAAGTAATAGAGACATGAAAAGATTTCTTTGACATTGAATGCAAAGATAGAAGGGAGTTCGATTGCCAGACCCATTGTTTATGGGGACATTGAGTGTAAAATAATTACCAGACAAATTTCAGATTTTTTAATTTCTAAAATATTAAGAAGTATCAGAGGTTTTTACAATTTTCTTTATAACTAGTGTGATTAACGTGCGTTGCTCTTTAGTTGTTTAATGTCAAAAATAAATATATGTAAATTTCATAGAAATTCATTCGTAAACATGAAAGA